GTAAACTAACATTAGCTATATCATGATTAATCATGTAGCAAGTTGAATTGAATACAATTAATCATTTTAGAATAATATTGAACTTGGTTGTATTAATTAATTTGACTAGCTGGTTATAAATAGTTTAGCTTATTGTGTAAAAGTGTTTAGTAATTAAGTGCTACGTACTTAGTTGTTTTAGTGTATTTAATAGACAAAAGATGATTTTTTTTAATAAGCTAATATCAAAAAGTTTTGTATTGATTGTTTTCTAAAAGTGTGTGCTTTTTGAGTCCAAAAATCTCTTTCAATAAACTATTTACCAAACACCCAAATTTGATACTACCTCCGATTTTTATTAAATTAGTTGCAATTTTGGGGTATTATTTGTGAGATATAAAATATTGCAAAGTTGCAACTAAAAATATTCGAAGGTGGTATTTAAATCAGTCAAACATATAATAGGGATCAATAACTCCAAAATGCACTTTACCAAACAAGACATAAGTGTATTTGATAGCCAAAAAGTAAAAAAGCTAATTATTCAATAAGTTGATTTCAAAAAGTTCTTATAATGATTTTTTCAAAAAGAGTTTTAAGTCTTTCAGTAAGCTAACCTCTAACTAGGCTCTATTAGCTAAAAGCTTTCCAGCTTCTATACCAAACAAGACTAATATCATTTTTTAATTTTAATTTTGTATCCTATGGACAATAATCACATACATATTTATACATACTACAGAGTATATATACACCTTAATAGTATATATACACCTTAATACTCTGTACAAAAGATGATTATAATATTTAATGCTAGATTATTCTAAAGAGATATAAAGTAATTTATATATATACACCGAGTGCAAGGTAAACCCAATGGTATTTTCTGCTCATGATATTTTTGCTCGGATCATTTTAGAATCTTAAAATGAGCATACAAATATATACTCGTATCAAATGAGGAAAAAATTACCCTTATATTGGATGCATGTAACTCTGTACAATTTGAGTGTATATAACAGGTTTTGCGAAAGTTAATACTGTAATTTACATTAGATTTATTAGTATCATAGATATATTATATCAATAGATTTTTGTAGACTATAATTATATTAGATATTTCCTTGCATTTTTTTTTTAATTCTTTCTAACAAAGGTATGTACTATATTTAGGAGGGTCGGTATGTGTACCTCAACAAAACATAATAATCCAAAGACGTGGCTGCAACCATCTAAAAATCTATTTAGTTTATCTGATAAAAATAGCCATAACAAGCTGTATATATAAATTTTATCGTAGTGAACTAGTCGTGCGCAACAACTCAATAATTAAGTAAGTAATCATAGAAATTGCTAGCTCACGACTCGTAATTACTTTTACCTAGTAAGTAGACTTTTTAAGCGCATTTGGAAGCACTATATAAGTATTGCAATATAATGGTGGACATTGCTAACATAATCAAACTTCAATTTAATTTTAAAACATTTAATTAACACAATGGAGAGGATTTTTATCAACTTATTTGTGTTGTCAATTTTGCTAGCTCTTTTGGCATTGGCTGAATCAGGTTTAGTTTTTGTATTTCTTTCTTAATATTGTTTGTGTGTGTTTTTTTTTTTTGGTTACCTTTTGCCCTAACGTCCTCTGTCCTATAATATTTTTTCCATTTTTGAATTTGAGTTTCTTAAAATAGTGTTTTTCTTGTCCTTTTAGGGTTTTCTAATTTAATCATTTTGTCCTCGTTTTTATAGATATTTGAGCCCTCATTAAATATAAAATGCATGGAGATGTATACTTTTATGGAAAAGTACACATACAAAGATATTATAATAATTGAGATATTATCGTATACATCAGGTGCACCATTCATCCATGAGTAGTTCGTTCTCATTTAATTTTGGATTAGTTGAGTGTACGGTGCACTCAGACGTATATAATATTGATTTATAATAATTCCAAATCATATATTATCCAAAAAATTCTAATCCTTGTGAAAATTTCGCCATGGTGTCATTTTGAGTATCCCTTTTATATATGCCTCATAGTATTCTTAAAAGACCAACTCGTTAGTTAATTACTCATAACTTCATAATGAATTTTCACCACTTTTGATCATTTTTTTTGAAAATATATGAAAACAAATGTCCATATCTAAGGCACTATTGGATTTATTATAATGTATATATTCAATTTATATTTTTACTATTAAAAGATATTGATAGCCAAAATTGTACATTGTCAAGAGTATTCAGTTAAAGTAATGCAAGAAATTTGATACAAGAGGAGTATGAGATGAAGTGAAATAGTGAAGTGCTTAAACTTCATATAAGATGATAAAACTATATTTAGCTTAATTCTCTTTAACATTCACTAATTGTTACTTACAAATTTGTGGTGTTATGTTCATATTTTTCTTCCAGCCATGGAAAAGAGTTATGGACCCTATGATCAACAACCATCATATGTACCGGACACCTCGAGCACACCACCACCACCATCGCCGCCATCATCACCACCACCACCACCACAACCACAACCTAACCCTACGTGTAGGAAACTAAAACAACTTTGTGGAGGTTATGGCGATTACGCTTGTTGTGAAGGATTATATTGTTTGGTTGGACACCAGAGCAACCAGGTGGTCTCGGACTATGTACACCTTTAGATAATCAACAACCTCCGTCGAAAGATAAGTGTAGACACCACCTTCAAGAGTGCCAACTCTATGGTCCGTACGTATGTTGTCAAGGATTGAACTGCGTTCATGCTCGAAACCTTCCTACCGAACCTTATTAAAACTCGAAAGAAGAAGCTTCCTCCTGGTACGGGTTTATGCACTTATGCTAATTATTAAGCTATAATATGTACTCACTAGTTCATACTAGCAATACTGATTGAGTTTAGTATATGTTCATCATGTGTTTTCATGTATTGTTCTATAGCATACATTATGTTTTTGATTCCGGGGATTATTGTACTTCATTTTGTTAATTTTTTAATTTCAACAGTTTGACTTTTGCACTATTCAATTAATTATGTTAATTGTAGTTGGTTTACGCATCCTCAAATCCTTTTAATGTATGGCCATGAGTAATTTTATAAAAGCCATTTTTATACTCTGCGATGATTACTAATATACACAAATAAATGTTTAAATTTTTATTTTTCTAACAAAACAAGGGGTAAAATGAAAAGGTTACAACTTTTTTTTTTTTTATTGACAAAGAAAAGCCTTATACTCTATCACTCCCCCTCACATAAAGGCTCTTTAGGCATGAAATGTGGATGTAACAAAGGTCTACCCATAGCTGGTGCGAATTAATTCCACTTTAAAGGAAGGGCAGATGAGATTCGTACTCGTGACCTTTGTATTACGCTGGCTCTGATACCATGTTAGAGGACCAATTCAACCAAAAATTTAAGCTGATGGTTGAGGCTCAGAAATATATTTTATACTCTATCATTTGGGAAAAAACAATAAGATCTAGATCGACTAAGACTTTTAATATTGGGTTAAAGACGATTTTGGTTCAATTGGTGAATTGGGCCGAGAATATATACCTGCACTGCACAGAAGAAAATTTTGGCTTGTAATGAGCAGCCCAAAAAATAAAAAATAAAAATAAAAAATTTGTACCCAAACACATGCATAGCAATAGCATATATATAAATTTCTTAATAAAACTCCGTAACATTTATTAAGTAAACTCAATCAATACAATCAAAATTAATACAAGAAATCAAACACTCAACAAAAAATACATATATGCAACTCAAATTAACACAATTGTAGCTCAAGAAAATGAGAGTCATCCACATGAATGGACTAATAAGTCATCATTTCGACGAAGAACTCTGCTTGTAAGTAGGCACACAAACACCACCATCACCAGCATAGCTACTCGCATCATAGACACAAGCGTACCTTTCGCAACACTGAAGTCCAGTGCTACCACCACAAGATTCATAATCACTTTGACATTTTCTTCCTGGCATACAAACACCGCCAACTTCTGGATAATCGTCATCAAGTACACATCTTAATCCTTGGCAACATTTCAATCTATTGATACCTCCGCAAAGTTGATATGTCCTTCGACATGGTTTTAGCGGCCTACAAACTCCGCCGGATCCAGGATAATCACCATCAAGCTCACATCGTAGTCCTTCACAAACATTGGTACGCTGAAGTGCCACACAATATTGTTGAACGGTCTTAAACGTTCGTCGCATACACGTTCCTGTTGCGCCTGGATAGTCACCGTTGAAAATGCATTGTAGTCCTTCACAGCATTGATATGCGGACATTCCTCCGCAAGATTGTTGAACAGTCTGGCATGCTCTTTGCCCTACCATCAGCGTTCGGGTGGTGCACTGGAACCATCAGCACCCCTAGTCTCGATGTTGCAACATGGCTCAGGTTGTTTTCCCTGTTTGTTACCTTGCAAGAAGCGCAAGGGCAGTTTAGATTTGGTTTCTACAACTTCTTCTTCAGCGGGCTCGGTGACCTCCCGTAATGGGTCACCCAAATTGAGATGAAAGTTGCTGCCTGGAACTGTAGGGGTCTTGGACAAGCGGACTCCCCTAAATTTCCGTATCTAAGCTCTTTAGTCCGCTCCCATAACTTGGATGTGGTGTTTTTGATGGAAACAATGGTTTCTGTGGATAATGTTGTGCTCAGTTTAGCATCTATTCCTTTTTTGGGTTGTTGTGGTGTAGATGCTGTAGGATTAAGTGGTGGTTTGTTCATTTTTTAGCTTGCTCCTTTTAGTGTAGTTCCAGTGTTTATATCTCCAAACTTTGTAGTTTGTAAAATAGAGGTTGGTGATGTGATAAAATTTGTGATCTTTGTGTACGGGGCACCTCATGTAGCAGATAGATCAGATGTGTGGTCGTCTATTGCTAGATTTGTCCAAACTTACCCGAACATTTTGTTGATTGGTGATTTTAACCAAGTCGGGTATCTATCGGATAAAATAGGAGGGTCTTCACTTATTCCAGGACGTTTGGATTTTATTCAATGGCGGTTGAATTTGGGTTAGTGAATGTTCCTTTTTCTGGACCTTCTTATACTTGGACAAACAATAGAATAGAGGTGGACCCGACTTTTGAAAGATTAGATAAGGCATATGCAACTCAGGATTGGTTTATTGATTATCCGGACTCCATTGTTCATCATCAACCGATTCTATTTTCGGATCACACAGCTATTATCTTTTCAGACTCGTTACCTCAAGATTCTGTTCGGCGACCTTATAGAATCGAAAACTGGTGCTTATCTGCTCAGGATACTTCTAGGATTATTAAGGACGGCTGTCGTTTAGAATTTACAGGCTCTCCGTGTTTTACCTTATCTCGCAGGCTTGTTGTTATTCGCAGGCGACTTAAAGACTGGTGCCTTAGCCACAGGAAATCTTGGGGTATAAACTGGAAAGCTTTATGTTCTGATTTGTCTTCTTCTTCTACTCAATTACAATCCCCAGTGGCGCGAGTTCTTTTTCTAAATACTAGGGAAGAGAAGATAGCCGAAGCAACTGCTGCTTTTCTCTATTGGAAACAACGTGCTAAAACTAAATAGGATGCTGGAGGGAGTCACACTCCAAATTACTGTTTTCGGTGGTCCAAGCTCGTCGTCGTCGTAATCTGATTGTCAGTTTGAAGAATGATGCTGGTATTTGGGTTTCGGATTCTCTTGGGCTTCGCTCTCTTATTCAGGCCTTTTACTCTGATCTATATTCTCATGTATCTCCATTTGGGAGTGACCCTCCTTTTTCTTGGGATCACCTTGGCCTCCCGACGCTATCCTCGTCTCAAAAGGACATGTTAATGGCCCCGTTCTCGCCTTCTGAGATTAAAGCTGCAATGTTTCATATTGCTAACGACAAATCTCCTGGGCCTGATGGCTTTACTTCGGCTTTTTTCAATACTCATTGGGATCATACTGGGCATTTGGTTATCTCGGCAGTTCAATACTTTTTTGCTCATGGTTATATGCTGAAGGACTGGAATAGAACCTTCTTAGTCCTTCTGCCGAAGGTTTCTCAGCCGGAGTTAGTGTCTCAGTTTCGGCTGATTGGTTTATGTAATGTCATGTAAAAATTATAGCAAAATGCATTACTGGCCGTCTGCGAGGGGTTCTTCCATCTCTTATTTCAGGGTTCCAGAATGCCTTTGTGCCGGGTCGCCTAATTTCTGATAATGCTTTGGTAGCTCACGAGCTTCTATCCTTTATGAATGCTTCTAAAGCTCGGAAACCTTTTTATGCGGCTCTAAAGTTGGATATGAATAAAGCTTATGATAGAGTGCGCTGGGATTTTTTAAGTCAGGTTTTACGGGCCTTTTGGTTTTCCGCCTTATTCGGTTCATATTATTGAGCAGTGTGTTACAACTGTCTCGTACCAGGTTCTTGTGAATGGGAGTCTTACACCGTCCTTTCGACCACAATGTGGTCTTAGACAAGGTGATCCTCTGTCACCATATCTATTTGTTTTGTGTATGGAGGTGTTGTCGACCTCTCTTAGGCGGGCGGAAGAACAGGCTTTGTTTTCTGGTATTCGTGTGTCTAGGGGCGGACCTTCGATTTCCCATCTGTTCTTTGCAGATGATTCGCTGTTATTTTTCCAACTTTCGCCCCAAGCGTGTGACAATGTCATGGCCATTCTTTCGGATTTTTGCTCTGCTTCGGGTCAGATGATTAATCTTCAGAAGTCCTTTGTCAAGTTCAGCCCAAATACCCCTCAAGACTACCGTGATTTTTTAGCTCGCAGTCTTCGACTACAATCGAAGGCTTCTTTTGGTACTCATCTAGGTCTTCCTGTTGACCTTGGAAGGAGTAAAGTCGCGGAATTCAGGTTTCTAATTGACAAGGTTGCTAGCCGGTTGTCTGCTTTTGCTTCTCTTCGCTTGTTAGCAGCAGCGAAACTGGCTATCATAAATTCGGTTTTGATAGCATCGTTTAATCATATCTTGTCGGTTTTCAAGATTCCGTCTTCTGTAGCTTCTCAACTTGATAGCATGCTTGCCAACTTTTGGTGGAGATCGTCTGGTTCTCGGAAGGGTTTGGCGTTGCGCTCAGTGTCTCTTCTTCATTTACCAAAAGGTTTGGGGGGTTTGGGTGTGCGCAACATTGCTTGCTTTAATTCAGCTATCCTTGCTGGTACAGGGTGGAGGATGATTCGAAATCCTCAACTTTTGGTTTCTAGACTCATGTTTTTGAAGTACCCCTCTCTGCCAGTCAATCTGGGAGCTCGGATTTCTCGCCCCTCTTGGGGCTGTCGTGGGTTGCAGATGGCTCTTTCGGCTGTTTCTTCTGGTGTACGTTGGAAAGTGGGTAGAGGTGACAAGGTACACATAACAGCCGACAACTGGGCTCCTGGGGTCCAGTGTTATTCAAGGATGGTTTATCTCAGTCGGATCTTCCGACTCATGTGTCTGGTATAATTGATCCGCGTTCTAACGCGTGGGACTCCTCGAGAGTCCATCGGTTTTTTGATAGTCCAACTGCCGTCAGGATCCTTAGTTTGGATCGTCCGCAGGAGCTTATGGATGATTTTGTATATTGGAAATTTACCAAGGATGGCTCCTTTTCTACGAAGTCTGCCTATGCTCTCTTACTTCATCAGACTATCAGGTGTCCTCCTTTGGGGTCCTTGCCTATTCCCTGGTGGAAGAAATTTTGGGCGCTCCCCCTTCTTCCTAAATGGAAGATCTTTGGCTGGAAAATAATTCATGCTGGTATTCCGGTTGCCTCAGCTCTAGCTGTTCGCGGCGTTTCCGTGGATTCGACTTGCTGCTTTTGTCGAAGGGAGCAGGAGACGATCAACCATTTGTTTCGAGACTGTGATTTCGTTACTCCTTTATGGGTTCGCAGCTCGTTTCATTTCAATAGTCAGGGTCTTCTTCATCTTCCCTTTCTCCAATGGTTTTCTGTTATGGTCTCGTTGTTAGCGGCTGCTAAGGATTGGGAGAACTTGGTGCAATTTTTCTCCCTTCTTTGGTCTATATGGTTGTCCCGTAATAATGTACGTTTTCGGCAACAAGCTGTCTCTCCGGATGATGTTTTGCTTCTTGCTTCTCAGTGGAATGTGCGAGGGAGGCAGGCTCAGGATTCTCACCTTCCTTCTTCTACTTTGGGTCCTAGCCCTAGGCCTGTTGGTTCGGGATTTGCTGCCACTCTTGCTGGGGACCCTACGTCGGGGTTTAATATTTGTTTGATTTGCGACGGGTCTTGGTCATCCTCGGATAATTCGGCAGGTGCTGGTTGGGTTCTTCGTGATTGTGGTTCTCCTTCAGTCCGAGGAGGAGGGGCTCGTGCTTCTCTCTCTTCTTCAGCCTTACAGTCTGAGTTACAAGCTTGTTTTTGGGGGTTACGCAATGCTTTTTCTCGTGGTTTTCGTAGGATTCTTATTTACTCGGACTGTGAGCCTCTGTGTCGGATGTTAGGCCAACAACAGAAAGATGAGGTTTCTTTATACTGGTTACTTCGGGATACTCGGGTTCTTTTGTCTACCTGTGCGGCTTGTAAAATTCTTAAGGTTCCTAGGGAATGGGTGTCTCCTGTACACTGGTTGGCTGGAAAGGCTCGTGCTCGGGAGTGTTTTTTTGGTATTTTTAGTCTGTTGCTTATGTTTTCTTTTCTTTGTTCTCACTGTCAAAAAAAAAAAAAACATGTAAGGTGTGTCAAAAAAAAAAATGTAAGGTCCCTTTTTCAATTCGATCACGGTGATATTTCATGGGTTAGATTGCAATTTTTTTTTTCCCTTCACATAGACTCATTCAATTTGACCTAAATTGCATTACAGCCATCAAAGGTCCAACACTTTTGAGTTATTTTGTCAACATCATCCATATTTCTTAAGTTCAATAAAATATATTGTATATGTATGATTAGTAGTTTAAGTTGTGATATTATAATACACCCATGCTTTCTAGCCATTTTTCCAACGAATGAGGTTCAATTTCCTAAATTTATTAAGTGTCGTTTCTGTGGTAGACCAATCAATCACAAAATTCTACGAAGTATATATGATTATAACGTATATTATTACTATATTTGACTTTGATGATCATTCAATATTTTTTTTTTTAATTTGACATACGTATGTGTACCCCCATCAACAAACAATACACTTTGAATTGAAAAAAAAAATTAAAAATAAATCCAAGACCGATCAAAGCAACAAAATGAACATTGTTGATATAGAGTATAAAACATATTCTTTAATCTCAACCATCTGTTTAAGCTTTTGATTGAGTTGATTATCTAACAATAATTATGATATTATGAATAATAATATTATGAATAATAATACTGATTAAAAAGAACATTTATGAGAAACATCACAGTGCAAACTAGAAACAAATAGTGGTATATTATACAAGAAACTCTTCTAGATACTTAGTAGAGTTGCTTGTATGTATTCATGAATTTCGATGATTATAAGGAGTCTCAATTTGCATAATCTATTAGTAGATCCGGTAGAGGTTTTTTACAAACACCAATAACAATATTGGAAGCTGAGCAGACTAGTCCTTCACAACAAGCATATACACCTTTAGAAACACATATATTGCCTTCACCTTGACATTTTTCTTCTTCGGATGTTTCAATTGCATCGATGAATGCTGGAACTGAAATAATTTTAACCATGAATATTAGTCACCCGTTTTTCAAAAATTATTTAACTTATAGAGTAATCGAACATGCATATATGAATTGAAAACGACATTTGACTAGAATTATAGAAAAAAAAAAAAAAATTAGCCCGTGCACATAAAATTTTTATATACATCCAGGTTTACCGTACATCCAACTAACCCAAGATTAGTTTTTGTTCTTCATTTGATGAATCAACGAAATATAATCATCAAAATAAGTACAAAATACTTATGGGTGTACGGTACACTAGGTGTATATAACAATATCTCCAAAGCACATAATACGTGTAATAATAATGAGTATTGTAGGAGAAAAAGAGGTCGGAGCCAAACCTGATACACTTAGTAAAAGAATAGCTAAGAACATCATTGACATAACAGTGTAGTTGATACGAATACTCGCCATTTTAATGAAGGAAATATAAGAAGATTGTTGCATTTCTAAGCTAAGCTTATACGATCTATTATTGTTTTAGGCGAGTGATTGAACATTCCTCAGCTTTCCTTAGCATTTATATTGCTTACCTTATGGAATGAAAACTAATTTTATTGTATGTTGATCGACAAGCCAAAAAAAACCTAAGGAAATTAAATACATTATCAAATAATTAACAAGATATAATATAGATGCATCATTATTTTCGTTGTTATTACGTGCATGCAACCATGTCTTTGCTTTGCTGGACTCATCACTACTGCTAGTATATGATATCAGTAAACTAACATTAGCTATATCATGATTAATCATGTAGCAAGTTGAATTGAATACAATTAATCATTTTAGAATAATATTGAACTTGGTTGTATTAATTAATTTGACTAGCTGGTTATAAATAGTTTAGCTTATTGTGTAAAAGTGTTTAGTAATTAAGTGCTACGTACTTAGTTGTTTTAGTGTATTTAATAGACAAAAGATGATTTTTTTTAATAAGCTAATATCAAAAAGTTTTGTATTGATTGTTTTCTAAAAGTGTGTGCTTTTTGAGTCCAAAAATCTCTTTCAATAAACTATTTACCAAACACCCAAATTTGATACTACCTCCGATTTTTATTAAATTAGTTGCAATTTTGGGGTATTATTTGTGAGATATAAAATATTGCAAAGTTGCAACTAAAAATATTCGAAGGTGGTATTTAAATCAGTCAAACATATAATAGGGATCAATAACTCCAAAATGCACTTTACCAAACAAGACATAAGTGTATTTGATAGCCAAAAAGTAAAAAAGCTAATTATTCAATAAGTTGATTTCAAAAAGTTCTTATAATGATTTTTTCAAAAAGAGTTTTAAGTCTTTCAGTAAGCTAACCTAACTAGGCTCTATTAGCTAAAAGCTTTCCAGCTTCTATACCAAACAAGACTAATATCATTTTTTAATTTTAATTTTGTATCCTATGGACAATAATCACATACATATTTATACATACTACAGTATATATACACCTTAATAGTATATATACACCTTAATACTCTGTACAAAAGATGATTATAATATTTAATGCTAGATTATTCTAAAGAGATATAAAGTAATTTATATATATATACACCCGAGTGCAAGGTAAACCCAATGGTATTTTCTGCTCATGATATTTTTGCTCGGATCATTTTAGAATCTTAAAATGAGCATACAAATATATACTCGTATCAAATGAGGAAAAAATTACCCTTATTGGATGCATGTAACTCTGTACAATTTGAGTGTATATAACAGGTTTTGCGAAAGTTAATACTGTAATTTACATTAGATTTATTAGTATCATAGATATATTTATATCAATAGATTTTTGTAGACTATAATTATATTAGATATTTCCTTGCATTTTTTTTTTAATTCTTTCTAACAAAGGTATGTACTATATTTAGGAGGGTCGGTATGTGTACCTCAACAAAAACATAATAATCCAAAGACGTGGCTGCAACCATCTAAAAATCTATTTAGTTTATCTGATAAAAATAGCCATAACAAGCTGTATATATAAATTTTATCGTAGTGAACTAGTCGTGCGCAAACTCAATAATTAAGTAAGTAATCATAGAAATTGCTAGCTCACGACTCGTAATTACTTTTACCTAGTAAGTAGACTTTTTAAGCGCATTTGGAAGCACTATATAAGTATTGCAATATAATGGACATTGCTAACATAATCAAACTTCAATTTAATTTTAAAACATTTAATTAACACAATGGAGAGGATTTTTATCAACTTATTTGTGTTGTCAATTTTGCTAGCTCTTTTGGCATTGGCTGAATCAGGTTTAGTTTTTGTATTTCTTTCTTAATATTGTTTGTGTGTGTTTTTTTTTTGGTTACCTTTTGCCCTAAGGTCCTCTGTTCTATAATATTTTTTCCATTTTTGAATTTGAGTTTCTTAAAATAGTGTTTTTCTTGTCCTTTTAGGGTTTTCTAATTTAATCATTTTGTCCTCGTTTTTATAGATATTTGAGCCCTCATTAAATATAAAATGCATGGAGATGTATACTTTTATGGAAAAGTACACATACAAAGATATATATAATAATTGAGATATTATCGTATACATCAGGTGCACCATTCATCCATGAGTAGTTCGTTCTCATTTAATTTTGGATTAGTTGAGTGTACGGTGCACTCAGACGTATATAATATTGATTTATAATAATTCCAAATCATATATTATCCAAAAAATTCTAATCCTTGTGAAAATTTCGCCATGGTGTCATTTTGAGTATCCCTTTTATATATGCCTCATAGTATTCTTAAAAGACCAACTCGTTAGTTAATTACTCATAACTTCATAATGAATTTTCACCACTATTTTGATCATATTTTTTTGAAAATATATGAAAACAAATGTCCATATCTAAGGCACTATTGGATTTATTATAATGTATATATTCAATTTATATTTTTACTATTAAAAGATATTGATAGCCAAAATTGTACATTGTCAAGAGTATTCAGTTAAAGTAATGCAAGAAATTTGATACAAGAGGAGTATGAGATGAAGTGAAATAGTGAAGTGCTTAAACTTCATATAAGATGATAAAACTATATTTAGCTTAATTCTCTTTAACATTCACTAATTGTTACTTACAAATTTGTGGTGTTATGTTCATATTTTTCTTCCAGCCATGGAAAAGAGTTATGGACCCTATGATCAACAACCATCATATGTACCGGACACCTCGAGCACACCACCACCACCATCGCCGCCATCATCACCACCACCACCACCACAACCACAACCTAACCCTACGTGTAGGAAACTAAAACAACTTTGTGGAGGTTATGGCGATTACGCTTGTTGTGAAGGATTATATTGTCTTGGTTGGACACCAGAGCAACCAGGTGGTCTCGGACTATGTACACCTTTAGATAATCAACAACCTCCGTCGAAAGATAAGTGTAGACACCACCTTCAAGAGTGCCAACTCTATGGTCCGTACGTATGTTGTCAAGGATTGAACTGCGTTCATGCTCGAAACCTTCCTACCGAACCTCTTATTAAAACTCGAAAGAAGAAGCTTCCTCCTGGTACGGGTTTATGCACTTATGCTAATTATTAAGCTATAATATGTACTCACTAGTTCATACTAGCAATACTGATTGAGTTTAGTATATGTTCATCATGTGTTTTCATGTATTGTTCTATAGCATACATTATGTTTTTGATTCCGGGGATTATTGTACTTCATTTTGTTAATTTTTTAATTTCAACAGTTTGACTTTTGCACTATTCAATTAATTATGTTAATTGTAGTTGGTTTACGCATCCTCAAATCCTTTTAATGTATGGCCATGAGTAATTTTATAAAAGCCATTTTTATACTCTGCGATGATTACTAATATACACAAATAAATGTTTAAATTTTATTTTTCTAACAAAACAAGGGGTAAAATGAAAAGGTTACAACTTTTTTTTTTTTATTGACAAAGAAAAGCCTTATACTCTATCACTCCCCCTCACATAAAGGCTCTTTAGGCATGAAATGTGGATGTAACAAAGGTCTACCCATAGCTGGTGCGAATTAATTCCACTTTAAAGGAAGGGCAGATGAGATTCGTACTCGTGACCTTTGTATTACGCTGGCTCTGATACCATGTTAGGACCAATTCAACCAAAAATTTAAGCTGATGGTTGAGGCTCAGAAAATATTTTATACTCTATCATTTGGGAAAAAACAATAAGATCTAGATCGACTAAGACTTTTAATATTGG